TTTTTTTTTTTTGTAGTGTTAAATAACCTTTTGCAGTTATGAAATATTTTTGAAGTATAGTCAGCAGATGAAACTTATAAGCCACTTTTGTTAGCTAAAATAATAAGAAAAATGCTCGGCAAAATATAGTTTATCGTTTTGCATTTTTGAGTTTAATCTAGTCGCCTAAAACAAAACTTTCTTTTTAGACTGCTTTTTTGAACAGTTTATAAAGTATAAATTAAGTAGAAAAAAAAATTTTTATTTAGTTTTTTAAAACTTTTTTTTTTAGTACTAAACTGTATTAATGCCTATTTAACATTTGACATTCTATTTGATCTTTTGTAGATGACACCTTCAATAAATTCAGTGTTAAAGAAAAAGTAGAAACTTTATTATTGTTATGATAAATAGACAATAAATTTCTGTGACCAAAAAACTTCTACACGCTATATCTTTGTCATTTTTTCGCACAGTTAAAAAAGTATCAGAAAAAGTTTTTTGTATTTGCAAAACATATTTTTAAGAATAAATTTATAAACTTACATTTCTGGCTAATTGCAAATTACACAGCTGCAAATTTAGCGTTAGAAAAATTAAAAACAATAAATATGATATTGAAGTTGCTGTATGGTACAACGTCATGACAAAAATATTTGTCCATTCAAAAAATTCATCGCCAAAAGAATAGGTTCTAAAAAAAAGAAAAAATAAATTTGTCATATTAGGGTTAAGCCAAATTCTATCTGCCAATTTACAAGTTTTAATTTTTAAAACCAAATTTTTTTTTTTTAGCTTCTGAAGACACTTGAAAAAAGTTGCTAACAAATTTGATTTCTTGTTTAAATTTCTTTGCTTATTATAATTCTTTTTCACTGTAGTTTCAAATTTTTTTCACTTTTTTTTTATCTGAGATAGCTAAAATACAATTTTCTTTTTAGGTTTTTTATCTGCAAAAATGAAGATGTAGTCTAGTTGACAGTAAACCGATAAATTAATGAAAAGTTTTGAAAATTGTTTTTAAAAAAAGAAACAGGTTAATCAGATATGGTCTGTAAAGTTTGATAACCAAAAATAGGTCATTTGAACGTGCTCGTTTTCTGAACTTAAAGAATCGATTTAGAAATAGCAGCTTAATAACAAATACTTTACAGAATAAAACTGTGGAATATGATTCAAGAAACAGACAGTGTAGCAAAGAAGATTTTGAATAAACTTACCAAACCAAAACAGATGATGCTTGTACAGCATTACAGAATTCTTCTTTAGCCACCCAAAACTAATCG